TGCTGTGAGAGCCAAAATGCCATAGCTGAGAGCTGTGTATAAATATAAATATATTTGAAAAAGTCAGACTATACAGCACAGTTGGGTCTGTCACACACACAGGGGAAATGGGAGCACTCAGGTCGCTTCCAGAGGTCACCTGCACGTGGCACGTGCCCCCTGTGCCCAGGTAGGGGTGGGGGAGAGCAGCACAGGGAAATGGGGTGGCTGTGTTGAACTGTAAATAGTGGCAGGTGAGCGTCCCACTGCCCTGCCACTCGTGTGCCCAGTGGGTGCCAACCCCCCCCCACCCCAGCAGGGGCCTGGGCTTTGGTCTTTGTGGAGAAATGGTGCCACTTCTTTCACCCCATAACTCACTGGGGCTGTTCTGTATGGGGTTAAAGGGAGGGCCGATTTTTCCCTCCCCAAACACTCCTGTAAATGGTTTTCAAATGCTGGCACCCCTGCGGGGGTGTGTGTGTGTGTGTGTTGGCTGCGGGCGCCGTCTCACACGCAGCAGCTCCCAGATATTTCGGCAACCTCCAGCCCCTCTCCAGTTTCAGCTGCAGTTTTAAAGAAAACAACTCCCCCGACTGCAGCAGGAAATCACTATTTGGGTTTGGAGGCACCTCTTCCTGAGGAGCTGTGCAGAGAAGGCTCTGCTTGCCCCGGCAGGGACTGCTGTGCCCAGTCGTGGGCCAGCCCCTTGGCATCTCATGGCCAAGAGGGACCAGGTGATGCTCAGGAGCTGCTCAAAAGGCTGAAGGCTATTCCAGCAGGAAAAAAAGGAGGTGCTCGAGTCGATGGGGTTTGTGGCAGCTCTGTAGGTGAAATAGGGAGCATATTAAGGCATAAGAAATACCTTGATAAAACGATAAATGCCGTAATAAAAGCAAAATGAAGTTGAACTGTTTTTTTAGTGATGGTTCTTGGTTCAGGCTGCTGCTTTTCAGGCACAGAGGGTCCAGCATGGGGCTCATGGTGTCTGTCCAGGTCTCCTGTGCCTGGGATTCCACCTCCCTTTGGGCAGGAGCTGAAGGGGCGGCATTAAATCCAGTGGAGTCTCTGGATACATGTACCTGTTCATAAACATGTGGATATGGACACGAGTCCAGCTGTCTTGTGCATCCTGACTTTGTTCCTGGTGTTGTTCTGGGGGCAAACCCCTGTCCTGCCCTCGTGTCCCAGGTCTCTGGCAGTGTATAAGGGTGAGTGGCTCCCTGGGCTTCTCCCCATCCCCTCCCAGGCCCCAGGAGAGGGTTTAACACGAGCACTCCAGCATTTTCCTTCTCCAACTTGGTAGCAAGGCAGAACGTGGGGATCTCTGGGCTCTGCTCAGGTCCCAGCTCCCGAGCCTGGCTGGAGGAGCCGGTGCTTCCAGGCAAACTGCCCTTTGGCAGCCAAACCCCTGGCATGTGCCAGCTCTGCACTGCCTCAGCTATCACCGAGCCCAGGCTGCTCCTGCACCCCCTGCCCTCGAGACACCACAGCTCTGGGCAGTCTCTGCTGGTGACAGCAGCCCTGAGCTGTCCCACCCTGCTCCCCCCACCACAAAGTGACAGCAAACCCTTTCTTGCCCCTTCCCTCCCCTCCCATCCCACGGTATTTTTCCCTTCCTTGGCAGCTCTGCTCTCGTGCAGGAGGCTGAGAGGTGCCAGATGGCTCAAAGCCACCTTGCAGAGCTGTTGTGACACCACACCTCGGTCCCAGCCCCGTAGGACACACAGGATCCAGACTGGGGGCTTGTGCCAGCACAGGCTCTGGATTTTTCATTCAGTGGATGCTCACGCTTCTGGCAGGTTCAGGATTAAAGGAATCAGCTCTGGCCAGAGACTGTGGGACACAAGCAGTGGAAAAAAAGCGATGCTGCTGGGCCTCTGGCCTCAAGCTGGTTTTTGGGGAAGGGTGAAAGTGAGGAGAGGAGCTGGTGGACCCGAAACGTTAATTCCTTCCAGCTGTTGTCAGTCTGGCAGGTTCTCAAAGGAAGTTTAATAGACTGCAGTCGTCTCCCCTCAGCCCGTCCCCCATCCCAGCAGAACCTGGGATTACATGAGCTGCTCTGTCTTCCAAAGTCCTGGTTTTATTTTTTTCCCTTTGGCTCTGGAAGTGTTTTCTTTCGTGTGTGAGTGTGGCTGTGTGTGCGCACGCACGCCTGGGGTGCCTTTCCCTCCTCTGCCCGCTAAACCTGCCCCTTGGATTGCTGGGAATTAGAGGGGACTGTTGGGGCTGCACAGGGATGGGGTAGGAGCAGGAGTGGGAGCAGAAGTGGGGGCTGCATTGGCTGGGAGGAGGAGGAGAAGGAGGAGGAGGAGGAGGAGGAGGAGGAGGAGGAAATGGCTTCGTGGGCCTCCTCGCTGGAGCGCACCCCGGTCTGCCGTGTGAACTGGGAGGAAACAGGATGAAGAAAGTATTTGGAGTGGAAAATAAAAACCCTCTCTTGCTTTATTGATCGTGATTGAGGACAGAAATAGCCCAGGCTGCTGAAAGCCGTCCCCACTGCAGGAGCAGCCAAGCGTTGGGTGTGGGGCTCATCCCGTGCAGCTCCTGCAGCAGGGGAGAAACGCGGGGCAGGAGAGCTCCTGGCATTGGGCTGAGCCAGCCCTGAACCCCAGGCTTCCTCACCTGCCTGCCATGGCTCCTGCAGACCTTCCAGGTCCCTGGTTGCACATCCTGCTCTGCGCTGGCTGCACCTCCACACGCTCAGCCCTGGCAGCCCATCAGCAATTAGACAATGAGCTCCCATCGTTAATACCCTCGGTGTGCCATCCATAATGAATCAGCAGCAGGGGAAAATAGGAGGAGGAAACACTAATGGCCAGCTGGGATGGGGCTCTGACCATCCTGGGGAGCAGCAGTGTGGCACTGGGGGGACCCTGCACTGCTTAAAACACAGCGAGGCTAATTTAGGTGAGTGGACCTTTTAATGAATTTTAGCCCATTTCGCTGAATTGTTTCACCTAGGACAGCAAAGATGGGGCCAGCCAGGCTGGGGAAGGCAGGCAGGGAACCCCAGGGTGCCCAGGAAAGCCCATTCTGCAGGGCCAGCATCTGCATGGGCATCGTGCTCCTGCTCCAGCTCTGAGAGAACCGTAAAAACCAAGTGCTGGCAGGAGAGTAATTAGTTAAACCAGAGCACATCTGTTGTTAATTAATTCCCAGGCAGGAGAGTTTAACTCTTGCCTTCCCCAATGGTTTGCAACCTGGATGGCCAGCATCAACTTGCATTAAAGGAAGGCTTCCACTTGGCTTTTCAAGCCCTTTCAGGGGCTTGAGTTGCTCTGGTCCATCATTCCCCGCTCTGATCCATCATTCCCACATCCCAGGACCATCCCTGTGATTTTCAGGAGCACCTGGGACATGAGCAGAGCAACCATCACTGCTCAGCCCGCAGGGTCCTCCTACACGGGGGAATCTGTTCCCCATTAAGCGACTCCGGCAGTGGCCGTGGCTGGTGGGAGCAGCCCTGCCAGCCCCAGCCTCCCTAATTAGCAGCACAAGTGAGGCCAGGCCGGGGAAGGCCAGCACCTCCGTCCCTCCTTGCCAAGGATGCAAAGGGTTTGGAGCAGAGCCTCAGCCAGAGCCTGTGGAAAAGCTCCCACCGACCCTGCGAGTGCTGGAGGGGGTCCCAGTCCCGTCCATCCCGGGGTGGGCAGTGATGTTCATCCCCTCCTCTGGCCCCTCACTCCTTCAGTGAGGGATAAAGCCTCAGTCCAGCACCCCGAGCCCTCCCTGGGGTGTTTGGGAAGAGGAAGGCTGCCTGCCCCAGCCTCTTCCCCTCTGGGCATTTGCACCGTGCCGGCTCCGACCGCCCTTCCCTCACCACTAAAAATAGATTCCCCGGCTGAGCGGCAGTGCCGGAGGGCAGAAAGCCCAGATCCCAAACCAGCCCCTGTCACCGTGACCAACTGACCCATTTGGCCCCGGTTTTTAAGTATTTTTCCCTCCTCATTCAGCTTCAGCCCAGGCAGCAGCTGGGCTGGGATGGCAGTGAGACCCTGGTGTGGGGCTGTGGCCCCTGACCCACTGGCCTGGCATGGCACGGCAGGGTTGGTGATGCCACGCTGGGCTGGGACACGGTGAGTGGCAGCAGGAGTGGCCAAGGGACCCAAATTCCAAGGGCTGCCAGCTCCCACAGCCTCATGCCAACCCTGGGCAGCCTCAGCCCTTCAGCAGGGAATTCACATAATTTATTGTCTCCTTTAGGGAATTTGTGCCCTGGGTCTGGTGAAGCAGCTCAGGAGCCTGGGAGGAGCAGGGGAGGAGCAGGGAAGGAGCAGGGAACAACAGTGGGACAACAGGGCCAGGGTTTGTCCCAGGGGAGCTGCAGGACCTCAACCTGTTCCTGGAGTGAAGGACAGAGAGTCCTCTCACATCTTCCCTTCCTGCACGAGGACCAAAGCAGGAGCAGTGGGGCTGTCACTGACCTGTCCCATGTCCCCAAGGCCCAAGGCTCCCCTGCAGCTGGGAGCAGGATGGGGCACAGGCTGAGACAGGGGACACAGAGCTGTCTCCATGGACTGCCCTGCAGAGCATGTGGTGGGGCCACTGTCTGTCAGAAATGAAGAAAGACCTTTATTTACAGTAACAAATGAAAAGGACAAAAAAAAAATAATAAAATAAAATACTGTGACAGTTCCCTCCCTGTCTCCCCAGCCTTTCAATGGGGTGTCTGCCACCCCCACCCAGCCAAGATCCCTCTCCCCAGGACGGTGTGATGGGGCCAACAACTGGTGGGGGTCATTGGGCACCAATCAAGCCACCCTGCCCCACCAGCCCTGGGACACTTGGGGGTAGGAACAGCTTGGCACAGCCCCAGGGTGTCCCCAGCCCCAGCTTCAATCCCACTGCAGGGGCTGGTGCAGGAAAAGCTTCTTCCCAGGCAGGGGACGGGCTGCCCGTATTGCACTTGGCTGCTGCTCTCAGCACCGAGGGGGGCTGGCAGGGGGTGTCCTGGGGGAAGGGGATGCTCTGTGCCACCCCCATGCCAGTGGAGCACTGTCCTGGGGCAGCCCTGGGCGGTGGCAGCGGGACAGGCTGTCCCCAGGGCCAGGAGCTGGGGTGGCACCTGCGGGCTCTGCGGGACGGGCGCTCCTGCTCTCGGCTCAGGTGGCAGGAGGCTCCCGCCCTGCTTCACAAACCCGCCCGCTGTGGGGAGGAGGTAGAGGGTGACAGGATGCCACCACCACCCCTGCAGTCCCCCCGGCCCTGCGGATCCACCATTCCCCAGGCAGGACCCAGGTCTGGCTCACCAGCTCCGGGGATGAGGTTTGCAGTGGGGGATGTTGCTCTCCTCCTTCTCCAGGCTCTGTCTGTCAGCATTTCCCAGCAGCTCAGGGACCCTCACCCGCTGCGGGAGGGCCTGGGGGGGTCCCACTGCAGGTCCCCCCGCCGAGCAGCCCCTCAGGAGGAGAAGCAGAGCCCGCAGCACTCCATGCAGATCTCCAGGCAGTCGGCAGACTCGCAGCAGGCGTCGATGATGCCGCAGTCCATGTCGCAGGGCAGGTCGCAGTCCGCGCACTCGCCCGAGTTGCAGCAGCAGCAGCAGATGCAGGAGTCCTCGGAGGTGCAGGAGCCGCAGGTGGCACAGTCCAGAACGATGTTGCAGAGGGTCAGGAACTCGCAAAAGAGGCAGGAGAGGATGCAGTGGACGCAGCAATCTGTGGAGGAGGGGACGGGCATGGATGGGTGAGATGGCACCCAGCGTGGATGGATGCCCAGGAAGCACTGTTAGGGTGGAAATCCTCCCCCAGGAATTAATGGAAGGGATGAGAAATAGGTCTGAGGGCCAAGGTCCTCCCTCAACACCTAGGGACATGCCCAGGCCTGAAGAGAGACCAATTTTGGAGGACAGGAGGTGGCTCCACTCAGCACCCACCCTACATAGGCTGCCAGGAGGGGAGCTCGGCTGCTTCCCAGCTCCAGGGGTCCCGGTGGGCTGAAAGGATCCTGCACGAGACCCCAAGGGATGCAGGGCTGGAAAAGAGCTGGAAGGGGACCCCCCCCCTGGGGAGAGCTGGTACCTTCTTGTGCCTCAATAGGGATGTGGGAAGAGGCCGACTTGGAGCTGCCCTTGCTCTTCTTGCTGCTCTGGCTGTTGATGGACTGGTGTGACTGCAGCTTTCGCTGAGGTTTCTGCGTGCTGGGCAGGGGCCGGAACAGCCCGTTCCCCGCGTCCCCGTTGGCACCGCCCGGGTCCGGCCCCCGCCCGTTCTGCAGCAGGTGGGTACAGGGCCCGGGGGGCTGCAGGGCTGGTCTCACCTGGGGCTGGCCTGGGGCGGGGAGAGAGCAGCAGTTACCCCCCTGAGCCCTCCTGGAGTGCTCCACCAAGGAGAAACACGGGCCTGGTCTCCCATCACCACACAGCAACCTGGACACAGCGGGGCTGGGAAGCGATGCTAAAAGGTGGATGGTCCAAGAGGATGGAGATGGCAAAGGAGATGAAGAGATGGCTGCAGGGAAGGAGGCAGAGGCTCCAAAAGAGGAAGGGATGAAGAAAGAGCAAGAGATAGAGATGTTTTGTGAAGGACGTGCTGCAACTGGTGACACTCAGCAGAGCACCCAGAGGAGGAGGAGGAGGAAGAGGAGGAGGAGGAGGTCTGGGATCCCAGTGCTGCTGGCACAGGCAGGAGGGATGAAGCCACTGAGGCTGCCAGAGAGAGCTCCTGGCTGTCCCCATCGTCCTCTGCAAAGCCAGAGGAGGTGAAGCACCACCGGAGAGCCGGAGCGCTCATCTCTGTGGGACTGCAGGAACTGGCTGCTTCATTAAAGGTCTCCCCAACCTCTGGCTGAACTTCTCTGCAGGAGGAGGAAAATAACTCTCTGCTCTGTCTGTGCCTCCCTCCAGCCTCACACACTGCAGCCGTGAGTGCAGGCCATGTCCTGCTGGGACAGAGCCAGAGCCAGTGCCCTGTGTCCTGCCAGAGCCCTTCGCTCCTGCCCAGTGCCATGTCCTGTCCCCACTAATCCGTGGGAGAGGGCTGGGAACCAGCTCAAGGGAGGGAGTGCCAGCATCCACCCTCCCCCCCAGCGATGCCAATGGAAGCCACAAATAAAATCCTGTCTGATGGTGCTTGGGCCAGCTTTGCTTTTCCTCTCCCATGGCAGTAAACAAGGGATGATTCAGGCGAGAGGCTCGAGGGCAAAGGCACCTCTGGCACTGGGGAACAGGAGCTGCTTTCTGTGCAGGGCACAGGGGGACGCAGGGGTGGAGTGGGCACAGACGGTCCCTGTCCTGCACCCACGAAAATAAAACAGAGGGAGGTGAAAAACACAAGTGGATGATCCTTGGTGGCTGGCTCTGCCAGGCTGAGCTGGACTTGGGTTGCAGAGGGAGGTTTAACCAGGGGCTTGGTCTTTGACACACGCTGGGAAGGGAACTTAAAATAACCAGGGCCGAGCGGGAAGAGTGGGCTGGAAGCAGGAGAGGTGGGAGAAGAGCAGACTGGAGACATAGAAAACAGGTCTTGGATAAAATGGAAATTGTGTCCCCTCCCAAAAAAAACCTCGCAGAGTGTTGACTTCCCATTCACCCTTCTCCAGTACCCTCACCTGCCTGTGCCCTTGCACTGAGCTGGCACTGAGTGGCACCAAGGATGACCACGGTGCCTGGGGCTGCCCAGAGCTGTGACAGGCAGGGCTTGAGCCAGCAGGGACCTGGGCAGGGGCTGAGCCTGCAGGGGCCCAGCAGCAGCAGCAGCAGCCCAGCAGTGTCCAACAGCAGCTGGGTTCTCTGGGATTGCAGCAGGATGCAACGCGCTCGCCTTGGCGCTCCCCATTTCACTGCATTCCTCAGATTAAACTGTTTGTAAATCAAAATCACGCTCTGGCTCGGGAGAGTGGCAGCCAAAGGCAGCCAGGAATCCCCCCCTCCACCGCTTTAAGTTAGGGAAAATAGCTTCCATTTTTTAGGAGAGCCTTCAACTCCCAGGAGCCCAAAGCTCTTCTAAAAGAGCCACTTTGAACCTGAGCTCAGCAGTGTGGTGCTCCCCCAGTACCACGGGTGTCAGGGCAGGAGTGGGGGGGACCAGCCCACCCGACAGCCCTCACTGCACCCACCCACCAGTGGATGGTGGGAAAGCAGGACTTGGGGCGAAACAACCTGCCTGTGGATCTTCAACGACCAAAACCCTCCTGGGTGCTCACTGGGGGTTTCCCACCGAGGTGGTGCCTGCCAGCCCCGGGGCCCGTGGGGGGTGTGCTGGGGAGGGGGCTGCGTGGGCCCGCAGGGTGCAGCGGCCGTGCAGTGACTCAGACGTGCAGAATGTCTGTGGGCAGCCGGCCCAGCTCCCAGATGCTTCGTGAGAGCTCGAGCTCTGCTGGAGGAAACGTGCGCTCTCCTCGCTCCACGTAGCCCTCGGGAGCGCCCGGGTCCTGCCGTCCCCTCCCCTTCCCACCCCCCCTGCCCGCCCTTCGCAGTGTGCAACCTCGTTCCCACCCCCCCCTCATCCCGCTGGGAATCCATCCACTTTACACCCCTTGGAAGGGAACGCTGCACTCTGGCATCCAACAGAAGGGGACTGGCTGTGCCCATGGGGCAGCCCGGGAGCGAAACCCTCGGGTGCGGGCTGGGAGCCAGGGAAGGGACAGACAGAGGGACTCCAGGAGTGCCTGGCCCGTGGCCTTCCACATCTGCCAGCTCTGCTCTCCCACCCCTGCAATGGTAAATGGACCAAGGGCCCCCATCCCTGCCCCACCGTGGTGTTTCTCGCGGTGGGGGGACCGGCAGGGCTGTGGCAGCAGATTTGGGGAGGTGCTGCCAGTCCTCACCACCACTTCTGGCAGAACCAGCTCCTCCGAGCAGACAGCCCGGCTCGTCCGGGCTTTGCACCAGCCTCACCCTTGCCCTGGACTCGCCAAGGCAAGAGCTGTCCTGGGGGGAGGCATCTCCCTTTGCTGCAGCAAGCGGCTGTTGCGCTCCCGTCCCACGGCCGTGCCCACGGAGCTGTTCTGTCGGGGGTCCCCTCTCTCCCTCTGTGGCTTTGGGGGATGTCCCATAGAGCAGCCAGCTCCTTCCCTTGGGGGGCTGGTCCCTCTTCCCACTATGGCATCCCAGGGGACACCAACACCACCGAGAGCTCCTCCAGCTGCCCACCCTCCTCCCCCTGTGCCTCCAGCCGGGCCCACAGACAGGAGAGCGGGAGCCATCCCGGCTGCCGCCCTTCACTTTCCCCACTCCAGGTGACTCACGCTCAGTTCGAGCCTTTTGCTTTGATGTGGGGAGGAACAAAGCGAGGAGGAGACGGATTCCCACCTCTGCCCTCCTTTTTAACGAGCCCCGCTGTTGATGAGACGGCAGCAGCCCAAGGCACTGGCACCTGGAGGTGCTGCCACGAGGGAAACACTCACATGTCACAGCTTTGGGAGCTCCTGTGAGCTCGGCCCGGGGGCCCTTGGTCAGGACTTTTGGGGACTCCTCATGTTCCAGGGGTTTCTCCTTCCTCGGCACAGGGCTCAGCTCTGCCGATGGCGCCGCTGGAATCGGCCTCGGCGAAGGACGCGAGGGCTCTCCGGCCTCTGCAAGAGAAACGGGGCTGGAGCTGAGCCCCCCCGGGTCACCCAAACCACAGAGACACCCAGCACATCCCCACACTCAGCAATCAGCACCGCTCAGGGCGGCTGGGCTCTGATTCCCGAGCCAAATCCAGCTGCCTCTTTGCACACAGCGAAGGGGAAGAGCTGGAGCACCACAAGGGATTTCGGGCTGCTCGGGGTGGGCACTGAGGCTGCACCACTCTGCAGCTGCTCACCTCACGCAGCGCCAGCAGCTCAGCAGCACCAGCCCAAAAACCCTCCTGAGGTCCCACATTCCTTCTCCAAAAAGCCAAGGGATCTGGTTACACTCAGCGGTTCAAGTTGGATTTTTCATCCCCCTTCCCATGAAAGGGCCACTGTCTTCCCTGCTGGAGCCTCTGCCACCTCCCCTCATCCTCCTGCACTCTGCGACAGGGGCAGCAACTGCAGGATCCCTCGGTGGGGCAAGTAAAACCCAAAAGGAGACAAGTTATTCCCCATGGGATAAATTCTGATGCCACACACCCCCTTGCAGAAACCCACAGCCCCCTTCAGAAGAGCCAGGGCTCCAGACTGGGAGCTTTCTGCCCCTCATGGTGGGTTTCCATGGGGAATGTGGGATGTCCAGGGGAAATGTGGGGTGTCCAGGGGGGCTCAGTGCAATGTTAGAGTCCCCCACTCACCCTCCTTGCTGCCCCATCCCTGTCCCCATCCCCCGGAATAGCAACCTCTTGCACAACAGGGGCTGGACAGCACTTTATATAAAACTAAATTATAGCCTGGGCAAAGGGAGGCAGAGCAGAGACCCATAATTTCCCTGGCTATAACAAGAGGTCCCACACACAGGCAGGCAGGGGCGGGGGGGGCAGGGGAGGGAGACCTGGGACACTTCATCACCCTGGATATGATGAGGGTCCTGCACGCCCGAGCTGGGGGGGAAGGTGGGCAGAGCTCACACGGGTAATTAGGGATTAACGAGGGAGGGGAGGCCTCCTCTGCACCCCCCAGGGTCAGCAGGAGCCTGGACACGCTGCAGAGGGGCTGCAGCCAGCCTGGAGTGATGCTCCACAACTCACATGCCTCAGTTTCCCCCCAGGACCATCCTCTCTGCCCTCCCCAGGGTGCTGATCCAGTCTGGGGTGATACAGCTCTCGTGACAGGGGGTTTGCTGGGAAGGAAAGCTCATCCCAGCAGAGCCCTGCTCGCAGCTATCACAGGTGAGGCGATTCTGGGGCTCAGCCAAGGGAAATCCAGCACCTCCACCTGAATTTCATGTGGCAGCATTGGCTCCAAATCCCGGGCAGAGTGAGAGCACGTGAGTCCCAGACAGGAGAAGAGTCATTCCCATGCCTCTGGAAAGCCCAGGGCGAAACAAGAGAGGTGAAGAGAGCAGGCTGTCATCTACCCACAGTGTATAGGTGAGGTGTGGGGATGAATAATTCCCACACGCTGCTGCATCCGCAGCCTCTGCCATGTCCTGACCTGGAGCAGCCTGAGTCAGACCTGATCTAACGCCAGGCATGGAACCTGATGGCTGAGGAGCTCTGGATGAAGCCCTGAGCCAGAGGTGCCCAGTGCAGGGCATGGAGGTGATGCTCCCCTCTGGTCCCTGGGAAGGGATCTGAGCTTCTCTGGGTTCTGCTGTGAGATGTCCAGGGCTTAAAAAATTCACAGCCTCTGGGGCTGCCCAGGGCAGCCCCATCACCACCAGAACCCCTTCCCTGCAGCTTTTTTACACCAGGAAAAAGAGCTGGAAAATCAGGTGCTGCAGGGGGACAGGGGTTGGTTGGCACAGGGAGAGCTCCAGCTGATCCCTGCCCTGCCATGGCCACCCTGTGCTCCCTCCATCACACCCCCTGCCCTCTCCAAGCCTGTTCCAGGGGGGATGAGGACAAGGACAGCCTGTTGAGACCCTGAGCTAGGAGGAAAAGCCCAGCACTGGCTGAGTGGATCTGTGTGGATGCCCAGTGTGCTGCTCCCAGGAGGAGATGGGGCTCGTTTCTGCCCTTCACACTTGTAATTACCCTGCAAGGGGTCTCACACACAACCACAGCCATGCAGGGGGGAAGGTGGCAATTAAATTAACTCCCACAGGAACAAGCTGGCCAGGAGAGAGACAAAAATAGACAGGAAAAAAATTTGGGTAAGCTGGTCCTTCCCTGCCTTGCACAGCCTCAGATCCCTGCTGCTGCAGGGCCACAGGGAGACCAAGTCTGCCAAAATGCACCCAAGAGGAGCCATCACCTCTGATGACACAGGAAAGATGGACAGACAGACCCCCAGCACTGGCACAGGCTCGTCCTACAGCTCCTGGTTCCCTCTCCTCCTTTAAATCCCCCCAGCCCCTGCTCCAGGAGTGCCCTGCCAAGAGGAGGCCCCCCTGGAGTCCCCTCTCCCAGTTCCTGGTTCCTTCCCTCCCCTGCTGCCACCAGAACAAGACCAGGGCTGACCTAAATCCCTCAGGTTTGAAACCAACCACAGGCCCAGGCAAAGCCCTAAGGAGAGATGACCCTCAGGATGGGACATCCATCCCTTTCCTCACCTGCACCCCCAAAGCAGCTGCACCCCCAGACCCCTCCTGGGTGGGATAAAAGCCCATCACAGCCCGGGATGAGAGTCTGGGTCTCCTCTCCCCCGTTCTGCACCACCTCTTGTACAACACGAGGGAGATGTGAGGGTGACGTGGCACAGGGAGAGCAACTCCAGTGTCTGCTTCGTGGGAACAGAGGTAATAAGGCATTTAAAATAATAAGCCCAGCTTCAGTAAATCACAGCACTGCCCTAAGGTGCAAAAGATTGGGGAAGTGATAGACATGGAGCTGCTTTCTTTGCCTCCTGGTTGCCAAGCCCAGGACAAGCACATGGATCTGCTTTTCCGACTCTTCTCCCCGTTTCCCAAGTCCAAACCCACTCGTTGTGAAAGCCCCGAGACATCAGTCAGCTCCAAAGTCCATCAAGAGGGTGAGAAAGGAGGAGGGAGGAGAGGAAAGATGAAAAGCTGGAGGGTTTCACTGCTGTGCCATTCCTGCAAAATCCAAAGAGCCCCCTGGCAGCGATGGCTGCAGGAGGGACCTGGGGCTGCAGGAGCTTCTGGGGCCACCCCCGTGGTTCTGACCAGGGGATAAAGTGCTTTGTGTGGGAAGCACACCAGGTTCCTGATGAGCTTGCAGGACTGAGGTGACCATTCCCAAAGAGCTGAGCAAACAAACGGCAACTGCAGCGGGTCAGCAGCTGGTGGGAGCCGCGATGGGGCAGAGCATAAACATCAGCCACACCACAGGCAGCACTGCCACAGCATCCTAGAGCTCCCAGGGACCTCTGGATTCCCTTATCCCAGCTGTCTGTGGTGCCCAGACCCCCAGCTGGGAAGGCCCAGAGGATGTGGGAAAATGCGAGGCCAGAGCCACGGTTTGGGGTCAAACCCACCAAGGTTGTCCCATGGCTCCTGCTCATCATTCCTGAGCTGTAGCTGATGCTCTGCCCAGCTCCTGGGGTCTCATTTATCTTCCCTTTTCCTCCTAACTGCCTTTGGCTCAAAGGGAACAAACCTGGTGGCAGGAGATGGATGGACACATTCCCAAGGTGGCACTTTCCCCATCCCCACTGCCCAAGGCCAGAGAGACACAGCACGGGAAGGAAAACCCTTCCAACACATGGAGCTGAAAACAGGCTGGGGCTGGGGAGGGTGGAAGCAAATCCCACCTCCTTGGCAAGGCAGATGTTTGCCTTAGGTGGTGTCAACCAAAAGGGAGGGAGAAGGGTCTCAGCACATCTGGATCCACATCTGAGCTCCTGAGGGGCATCCAAACCTAATGCCACGGGATGAGACTCCTGCCAGAGTGGAGGTTCTCAGGACACCCTCCTGTCCCCCCTTCTGCCTCCCTTCAATCCCTTGGGAATGGCTGGACAGGGACCAGGTAGTGTTGGACGGAGACGCAAACAGGGAGGCGTTTGCCATGAACAACATGCAGCAGTGTTTGGTTTGGGAGCTTTCTAATCTTTTTTTCTGCAGATAAAATGAGCGTGTAATCTCTCTTGGTTTTCCGTACGCGCTGCCTGGCCCAATCAGGTGCCTGTCTGACCTATTCCAGGGGTATTTCAGAGCCTGATTAAGTGGTTTCAAGTGCAGAAGAGACGGCACTGAAGCAAATCCTTCCAATCCAACGAGCCAGGCTGGAGGAGAGGAAAGCAAAATTCTGGTTTGAAAGTTTGCTCAACTGGGAAAAATCCAAATGGCTTATTTACATTCAGTCTGAAATTAATGCACTGAAGCATTTTCAGATTCTGTGATACTCAGGGAAAGGAAAAGGAGGGTGGGAGGGAAGGAGTAGAGATGCCCAGAGCACTGGAGCACAGCTGGGACAGACCCAGCACATCTTTACTTCCCTCCCAGAAAGCCCCAGTGTCTCTCTGCTCACCTGGGCAGTACTTTGGATAAACAGTTCAGTTCTGGGACAATGAGGAATTTGGTCAAAAAAAAAAAAAAAAAAAAAGTGGTTTCTATGAAAAGTTACTTCCTAAATGCAAAAAAGCAAAACAAAGCAAAAGAACCCACAAAACCCCAAATAGCTCAGCAGCCTGGGAGTTGTTGTTATTTGTTATTTATAGCCTTTGGGTGGGTAGGAAGGCAGGAATTTTGGGCCAGACAGGTCAGGACCAGCGTCCATCCAGTCCATCCGTGTTCGGAGTTTGACCTCAGTGACAAAACCCCGACTCCAGGTTTGGGGCACAGGCCCTGTGCCAAGGTGTCCCTACAAATTCCATCACCCAAAGCTCTTCATTGATCCAACCAGCTCCTGCCAAGGAGGCAACAGCCAAATTCATGGAAGAATTGCTCCCACTCAAGAGCTGGGTGGTGAGGGTGACCCTCGAGAAGGAATTTCAGGGAAGATAAAAAGTAAAATCACCGCAAGAAGCACCTCTGTCCCTGCAGCACTGGGGAGGAACTATAACTTATGCACTAAGAACAGATTTAACATATATGTTTTATAAACGTTAGGCAG